CAAACTCTTTTCTAGAAAGATTTAATACCTTCTTTCTAATCTTCACAATCGTCTTTCAAGAGAGGAATTGTTATCTCCATTTTACAGATGTGTAGATGGAGGCTCAGAGAGATGGAGTGACTTGTCCAAAGTTACAAAAATAGCTGAATTGAGCTTTTAACTTGGGTCTAAGTCCCAAGTCACTCTCTTTCTCTTATGTCACATATCCTGCTCATTAACTCCTACTTCCATCAATACGACTTGGTCTCTGCCTTTGAAAGATTTACATGTGCACAAAAATTGCATGTTGGATGATTCTGTTTATATTAAATGTTCAGAATAGGCAAACCTATAGAGACAGAAGGTAAATCTACAGTTGCCTAGGGCTGGATGTAAGAAGGTGGGGAGTGACTGCTAATGGTACAGGATGTCTTTTGGGAGAAATGAAATGTTCTAAAATTATTCATGGTGTTGGTTGTACAACTCCGTGACTATACTAAACATCATTCAGTTGTACACTTTAAATGAGTGAACTGTATGATACGTGAATTAATCTCAATAAAGCTGTTTTTTTTTAAAAATAAGGTTAATAATGTAATAGACAGATCTATAAATAGCTAACATAACACTAGGCAACATGAAAGCAGATGTGAGTAATGCACTCTGGAAACTCAGGGGAAGGTGCAGTTCTTAAGTCCAGGGGGCTGGAAGATGACTTCATGAAGTGGATGCACTGGAGCTAGACCTTAGAGCAAAATGAGTAGGCAGAGGAGAGTGGAGCCTGAGAGGACGGCATGGGCAAAGTCACAGGCATTTGCGAGGGCTGGGTTTTCCTGGGAGAATGGCAAGTCATGGCAAGTTATCCATTTGGAAATAAGTGAAGGGTGAGTGGGGGATAGAGAGGGAATTGAAGTTGGAAAGGAATCCAGCTATACAGAACGATGTGCTAGGGACTAGGCTTTATACACCATGGAGAATCTTCTTCACAATGGGAGAAAGCACATTTTATTTTTTAATTCTTTTCTATTTAACCGAGGTATAAATGACAAATAAAATTGTGTATATTTAAAGTGTATAATGTGATGATCTGACATAGGTATACCTTGTGAAATGAAGACCACAACCAGGTTAATTAACCTCCATCCCTTAGTTACCATTTTTTATTTGTGTGAGGATGTGTAAGGTCCACTCCCTTAGGAAGTGTCACATACATAACACAGTTCTGTTAACTACAGTCACGATGCTGTATATGAGATCCCCAGAGCTTACTCATCTAGTAACTGAAGGCTTGTGTCCTTTGACCAGCATTTCCCTATTTCCCCCACCTCCCAGTCCCTGGTAACCACCATTCTGGAGCAAGTATATTTAAAATTGGATCTGAGATTCTGTTTTTCTGTATCAGAGATCTAGTTTCAGCAAAACAACGCCATTCATGAAATTAAACTAAGGTTGCAAACTTGAGTTTTCCGGAGTTTTTCTTAACATGAATAGTATATAATTGTAAATTTCTTTTCATTTTATAGTTGTAGAAGTATTTAAAGTTACAAATTTATACCTAGTTGTATGCTTTTACTAAAATAAAATAATATAGATTAAAATTTATTTTTTCCTTTAGAGGGAGTTCATAATTTAAGTGAGAGATATTAGTCTAGAAGGTAAAATATTAATCAGTGTCTTCCAAACTTGACCCGGGGGGCCCCATACTGTACCAGCAGACACTCTGGGTATGCTGTGCTACAGAGCTGAGAATCTTTGTGCCTAAAATCGCACATGTACAATTATAGGAGAGTCTTTACACAGTCATGAAATAAGAATTTCACAGTATGTTAATGCAAATGTAAGAGTAGGAGACTCTGACCTACTAAATGAAACTTTAGATAGTGGAGCCATTTGGAGTAGTCACTAGGCATGATCACACTGTAGGCTGGAACTTTGCTATAGATTTTATTTGATGATCTCAAGTGTTCTGTAGAGTAATGTTGCTCTGATCACTGCTGTGGATAGCATGAAGGAGAATGGCCCAATATCTAGCAACTTCTTCCCTGTCCATTCTCTTGACTGAACATTTTGACAGACTCACTTGACAGAAACAAACTGGCTGACCATTTAACCCTTCTGCCAAAAGAAAAAGGAAAAACGAAAAGAAATAGAGCTTCACTGTATCTTAACTAATAGGCAGGCATTGGGAAAGAGTAATCTTTTTTTTTTTCCATCCTTTGTTTTGGAAAGACAACAATTGACGTGCCCTTGACTGCAAACTCAGAGTCCATTTTCTGGTGAAAAAGATATAGGAGCTTTGAAAGTGAAAAAAACAAAGTTTTTTCCCCATCTCCTTCTGTGTTTCAACTTTACAAACTGTTGCACAAAGATGCCCTTCAAAATGATACAAGGATCCAAGTTAGCACATTTTGTCAATAAGGATTTGTTAAAATTAAAAAACTTCTACTAACTATACTTTGATGATTTTTTAAAATTTAAATATTAAAACATTAAGAAATTCAAATGTTTGTATGTTCCCTACTGTCAATATTTATATGAAAAGGTCACCGCAAATTCAATAAAGGAGTTATAAGGAATGGGAGGTAGAGGCATTTTATAATTAATTCAGTTTTTATTAAAAAAATTGTTTGTTATCAGTACTTAATTTCACTTGTTTCCCTTACTTTTATTAGTTTATCCAACTCCCTCTTTAATTTATAGAACTAATGTTGTATATTGAGTAAGATTTAATAATATTTATTAACCATTTAAAATATGGATGACTTAAACATTTTATATTTTTTCTTCCTAAGATAACAAAGCAATTAAGTTACTGTTCTTTTATGTATGACCATTTGTAAGAATGATGGAATTGAGTGTGGGCGGTGATGGAGCTGGGCGTGTGCAGGAATAATATCTGCACGCACTCACACTCATCTTCTATATTATCTGTGTATTCTTTGAGGTCACCGGGATCTGTACCAGGGTCTTGTCTTTTCCTTGCCCTCTCCTTACTTCCTATTGTCGTCCTGGCATGCAGCACTCATCTGGAGTTGATACTATATGAATTTAGTGTGAGTTCTGTTTGAATCGATAAACAGATTCATTGTCTCTAACTCCAATTTTGAAAGCAAAGTCAGTGTGCGTGACTTGGCCTGAGTGCTCCTGTCATTGGTGAAATAGTCAGGAATTGATACAATGTGTGGGCATTCCTTTCTGGGATTTCAGCAGCACCGCTGAAAAGCAGAAGCAGAGATTCCTCAATCTCTCAGAACAATAATAATCTTCCTTTTTCTTCTAGGACTCACAGTTTGACCCCTCTCCTTTTGATCACATAAGACCTCAAATTGCCTTACCAACACATTCATATTAAACTCTTGCCCAGTTAGGAAGTGGAATGATCATTTCTACTTACTGAGACTGAAACACAGGAAGTGAAACAATTCTTGTGGTCACCGAGCAAATTAACCAGGGAGCCAGAAATGGTCCTCAGTAGAACTACAGAACACTCAGCTGCTTAATAGCTAATGGAAGCAAAAGGAACATGTATAATTATTATCCTTTCAATGAACAGTTTCAGTGAAATTTTCTATCTTACACCCATGCTCATCATGCACTTACATCTACAATTACTAGGCTGTATCTGAGTCTTCCCCAGGGACATTTATGCATCCTAAGACATCTATCTTAGTCTACCTTACATTCCTTTCTGTGTTTGAAAAGCTACCCAATGAGATTGTAAATGATGTCTTAACTTTTTGTACCCTCTGTAACTTTAATATCTGTTCTTAGCAAGGATTCCATAAATAAAAATTAAGCTGAATTGAATTTAGGCAACAGGATAAAACGGACCCAGCTAATCCATTCTAAAATATTGTAGTAATATACCCAAAGGATAAAAATAGGAAAAAAAAACATTAACATGGGACCTTAGGATACTCTGACATATGCGAAAGCAGTTCCTGAAATGTGGCAATTGGTGGTACTAGTGAGTTGGGAAGGTAGATATGCCAATTACAGGGTGAGGAGGTGAACAGTAAGTACATCTGAGAATTAAGAGCAGTGACACAAGCTGAACTCCTATGTCCTGACATAGCTGTTAGATGTTGGCCATCAGGCGGATCCACCTGAGGGTCCAGGAAGCATTGTGAACACACCTGGCCAGATCACACACAGTATGAGTTAGGAAATAGCAGAATTCACAAAGCAAGAATGTTTCTGTCTCTTTCGTAGGCATCTAAAAATGGAATTAGCTACCAATGAGAAAGAAAGAAGCAACCAGATTCCTCAAGAGTAGGAGGAAAGGTTTAGATTCCTCTTTTCTTTTTTTTTTTCTTACAGATTTTCTCTATGGTTAGCAAAACTACGCTCATCCATCCTTTGGTGTTGACAGCAGAGTATCCCACGGTACCTGCCGGGTAGCCCTTGACCTGTAAATCATCCACCTTCTTTCATCCTTGTTGCAACTGGAAGGCTCCTTGTGGGGCAGCATCCTTCTTGAAGCTGAAAATAATTGCTTATCTTTATAAAGGCTGAGAGAGGCCTGAAGGAGGGAATACTGGAAATAGAGACTGGTGGCAGTGGGGAAAGGGAAGCATGATTAGGGTGGGGAAGGGGAGAGCTTTCAGCTTAGAGGCACATGGATCAGTCTGCAAAGTAACCTTTTCCTCAAAAATTCAACTGAAAGCATTCACAAGTCTGCCCATCCAGCCCTGCTGGCTGGTCATCTTGGCAGCAAAGATCAAAGATGATGACAAAGCCATGTGAATCCTGGGTAGAAAGACATTCCCATGATGTGCCCCATGGGACTTTCTGCCTTCCAGCTGACAGCATCATCTGTTTCAAAAAAAAAAAAATTTGTGCTTCCAGTCTGACTGAAGCTGAGAAATTTTCCTGACAGGGGTGGAAGCTGTAGCACACATGGCCTGTTAGATTGGCATTCTTTGTTTGGTGGGACACAAAGTCACTACTCTATCAACAGATCGAAATAGTGAGAATATTCTCTCTCTCAGATTTTCATACGCACAACCACTCCACCCGCTACATGTGTGCATGCAGACACACATACCCACCTTACCACTTTAGGATTAGGGCTTTTTTTTTCTTTTATAATTATAAATGGAATCAATCAATCAGTCGGTTTCTCTGTGTGTGTGTGTGTCTCTCTCTCTTTGCCCAGTATTTCCTAGACTCATGGCTAACTTTCCCTCCAGATTGGGTGGTTTTAAATTCAGGACAATCTTGATAGAATAAAGACTTTTTACCATTAAGGCTATTCGAAAACATATGCTACCAGCCCTACGAGAAATATCAAAAGGCCATTCCAAACAGTTTTTTGAGTGGGGTTTAACTGCTGAAATAAGTGAAATAAGTGACAATTTCTCACAACAGTGAATTTGAAGAGGAGAAGAGGCACCTGGAAATAGTTTGGTGCATTTGGTAAAAACATAACAGCCTCCTTCTTTTATGGCAGCTTGTGTCATGGGTTTCTTCCTAGCATGGAGATGTTGCCAAGGCAATAGCTTAGCAATCTTCTACATGGCTGCTTTTCACATTAATTCACATGGGCTTCACGGACATTAATCTTTATAACACACCTAGGCAGCCCAGAAGGGTAGACTGCATTTTTTCAGTCTGTTTTTCATGGAGAGAAAGAACAAAAGGAGACGTTTCTGGTCTCCTCTCCCCATTCCAGGACACACCATCAGTCACCAGACTGTGGGTTTTGAAATGGCCTTAGGACCTCAGGCCAGGATTGTAGGGAAAAGTTCAGGGGATCTAAAGGGAAGGAATGCAACAAACCCAATCAAGGACATAGCTGATGGTCAGAGCTGGAAGGTCTGCTACTGAGACTGTGTGGAAGCCAGGAGGCAGAAGCCCAAAAGGAACCAGAGCCAAAAGTCACAGTTGGCCAAGCTCTGAGCCAAAGCACAAGACAGGAACCAAAGAAGCAGTCAACACCCAGCAAGAATGTCCAGCGTCAGCATCCAGAGAGTGCCCCCACGACCTCCCTTGGTACAGCTGCCTCCCCCGACTTGGGCAGCTCCTTTGGAAAGCAGCCACTGCAGCTGGGCTTGGGGGTGTGACTACCTTAGAGCCAGGATGAGCTGTTTTAAGTTTTTACTGGTTCTACACTACGTAGACAATAAAAACAAGCTCTTTGTACCCAGGGTGTCTCTGGAGTCATAAAGCTCACCAAAGTATCATGGAGGCAGGGCTTGGACTAAGGTGGGCAATGAGGTGCCTGTGTGCCAAACTTTTCTTTTTTAATTTTGTTTTTTATTGAAGTGTAGTTGATTTATGATGTTAGTTTCAGATGTACAGTAACAAGATTCAATTATACATACACATATTTTTTTTCAGATTCTTTTCCATTATTTGTTATCAGAAACTGAATACAGTTCCCTGTGCTATACAGTAGATCCTTGTTATTTATCTATTTTATATACTGTGTCTGTTAATCCCAAACTCCTAATTTATCTCTCCCCTGTCCTTTTCCCTTCGGTAACCATAGTTTGTTTTCTATGTCTGTGAGTCTATTTTTGATTTGTAAATGAGATTTGTATCATTTTTTTTAGATCCTACATATAAGTGATATCATATGATATTTGTCTTTCTCTGTCTGACTTACTTCACGTAATACAATAATCTCTAGGTCCATCCACATTCCTGCAAATGGCATTCTTTCATTCTTTTTTATAGCTGAGTAGTAGTCCATTGTGTATATATACCACAGCTTCTTTATCCAGTCATCTCTTGATGGACATATAGGTTGTTCCATGTCTTGGCTATTGTAAACAGTGCTGCTATGAACATTGGGGTGCATGTGTCCTTTCAAAGTAGAGTTTTCTCTGGATATATGCCCAGGAGTGGGGTTGTTGGATCATATGGTAAGTCTATTTTTAGTTTTTTAAGGAACTTCCATATCTTCATAGTGGCTACAACAATTTACATTCCCAACAACAGTGTAGGAGGGTTCCTTTTCCCCCACACTCCTAGGATGCCAAACTCAAGGAGGCATTCACTCTTTGGGTCAAATGCAGGTCTCAGAGGCTCAGAGAGGGGAAGGGTGCCTTTCTCAAGGCCAGGCAGCACAGCCCTGACACCCAATAGCCTCTATTTTCTTTTGATCTTAGGTCATGAATCCACTCTGAATCAGTCTGTGGAGCCCACGGTGTTTCTTGAAACAAAATTCATGATTAATATTTAGCTACTTTCTGGCATTTAATAATGTAGGATGGATGAAAATAAACTCCTGAATTAATGTAACAGAAAAATGTTGGTTAACACCATAATAAAGACTTTTTTTCCTATCCTTTTGCTGGCCAGAGAGTTCTAAGTACTTTCCCAAGAGTATTTGCTTCAAAAAGAACAGAGAGAAAGTTACTGAGAGATCCCAGAAAATGTTTACTGAATGAAGAAACAATGAATTAGAACTGGTGACAGAGAGAATGGGACTCACATGAACCACATGAAAATATTCAGTATCTCCATTTTAGTTCCATCTGGTGATGAACAAGCTTGGTTTATGCTATGTACTAATTTTTTCAAGAGTTACCTATTTTAAGTGCCCATAAGCTTTTCTGCTGAAACTTCTCATTTAAATCACTTTAGTTGACTATCCCAACCAGGTAAGATGTTAGGGAAAGAATTAGTACAATAGAAATAGTAAAAAACTTTATCCAAGAAGGCTTATTTAAGGTTAATTTTGATTTGGGCTGGTTGTGAAGAGCTCCCCGAATCCATATTTTAAATCTAAGTAGGGATGTCTTCAATTTTCCATTCAAAAGTGATTTTCCTTCTTTCTTTTTTTCTCACTGGGCTCTGCAGGTTGGGCTGTATTCTCTCTGCTTCTGAGGCTCCATCTCCAGGATTTATAGTTGCTGACAACGTGCTTCAATAATTCACAAGGAATGGGACTCGTTTTATGTTCTCCCTTTTCTCAGTTGGCTCAGTGATGCAGACAGATTAAAAACATGCTTTTTGTCAGTGAAATTAGTCGAGAGGAATCAGAGACATCTTAGGAGGAGTAATACTGAAAGAGTTACTGCTACTGAACCTTTTTCCCACCAATGCACAACTGGATAAAACCAGAAACACACCAGGATCTGCCCTGCACCCTTGAATCTTGCTCTCCTGGTGACTGTACTGAAGTTAAGACTTTCCTGTCCAGCCTCCAAAATGTGGAGTTTATTTATACTCTCTGTTGAATGTACTGGCTCTCAAGGTTTAAGGAAGGGAAATATAAGGATAAAATGAAATTCTAAATTCACTCACTCAGTTTATAACCTGGTCATTTGTTTGCTAATTATCTTAGGAAGATGTTTAAGTAGCAACTATTATGCGTTGTTGCCACAACTCTCTTCAAAAGAAGATGCATTTTATTTCTGCGTAGCCTCAGACAACAGGGCAGGAAAGAGAAGGCCGGCCATGACTTTCACTCCTTAGCGTCCGGGAGAAAGAGCCTCCTGGGGACGTGCCATTGTTCATGGGTCTTTAATATTAGATGTAACAGGTTCTGTGTCAGGCTCAAATCCCCAACTGGCCTCATCCCAGAGGAGGCTGGAGCCTGTCAGGGCTTTCCGTGTCCTGACTTTGTTGATCAATTCTGCTCACTGAAGTTCAGCAGCCAACTCCTCTCCCTGAGCAAACAAGACTGTGGCTCGAAGGCATCATAAACCGGGATTTCCACGGCCAATTTCAATACTCGGTTCCTCTCTGAAGCCAAAAACCAGACTCACCCAGAAGGTGGACACACTCCTCCAGATAAAGAATATATTTATTTAGGTTCGTACAGAAACCAAAGAAGAACAAGGTGGATGAGAAAATCCCACACTGTCCCTTGCAACTGAGCTGAGAGCCATTCTGAAGCCTGGCTGGCCACTTCAGCAGGCTGTGTACACGTATCACGCCCTTTCAGACTTTGGCATGCCTTGCGTTTATCAGTTTGATTTCAGCATTAGTGGTTTCATAAATTTTTCTTCCTTGTATTTTCCATGTATCTCATATCATTATTTAAAGTGTATTTTGGATAGACTGGTCCTAGCAATTGACTAAAAAATTTATGCTTTTGAACAGTATATTTACAATAGAATATTGCAAGCTTTGCTGTCTGGAAATCAGCTGACATCTGGTATGTCCTTATATATCTATATATGTAAATGTACATAGGTGTAGAGATAGCTCTAGACATAAAGTATTAACTATATTTACATGCAGTTTTCTTTGGGTAACCCTATACAAAATTTGACCTCAGTTCCACTTGGCTTTTGGCAATAAATTGGCATCTAGTTTTTTTATCCAACTGGCAAATGCACATAATTACTAAATGAGTTCAAAGAATATAATTTTTCCTTTTGTTTTCTTTAAAATGCAATTTGAGATTGGAGTAAAACAGAATGAATATCAGTGAAGGCCGAGAACCTTCCATAAATTTTAATATGCCAAGCTTTTGGTCCCTGGAACCATAGCCCAGAGGCCTACACTGATCCAGAAATTCCAGTCATCAGAATATGGGGGTTTTTTTCTTACTCCTCCATCATATTCTGAAGCTTGTGGAAGTCCTAAAATGGTTGCCAATTCACTCTTACAACTTTCACCAGGTTGAAGGAAGCACTGACTCCAAAATGTGTTCTATGACAATGACCCTGTCCCAGCCCTCGCCTCACAAAGGTGAGTCCTCCTGTTGTTAAAACTGTCATGGCTCCAGATACAAGTGATGGGCCCTTGGGCTTCACCTTAGGGGCTGCTGGAGGCAACTAGCTCCCCCAGGGATATGCCACACAGACACCAAAATACTCCAATCCAGTTCATCTTTTTTCATACCAATACTGCTGTGTAGTGATTTCTGTAATGGTGGGCAAACTTGGTCTCAAGGTTATTGTCTTTCCTTCCTTCCTCTCTCTTTCTCTCTCTCTTTTCCTTTCCCTCAGTTCCTTCCTCCCTCCCTCCCTAAATGCTAGCAGGGGTTGAAAGAGGAATTGAGAAGAATAGTGAGTTCTAAGACCACCCCAGAAAGAGATGGGGTATTTTGGATGACGGTGGTGATGGTGAAGTATGGTTGATTTTTGCTATTTACTTCAGAGGTGAATCTAAAAGAACTTGTGATGGGCTATGTACAGGACAATGAAAAAAGAATAATTAAAGATGACCTCCAGAGCAGGCCTGAGCAACTGGGGCCATGACACTAATCAGGATATGAAAGAGTAGCAGAGGAGTATGTTAGAAAGAGGAAATCTAAAGCAACCTAAGGATGGGGTACAAAGTTCTGAGAGAAAAGGAACAGATTCAAAGTTCAGATTATCTAATTAAGTAGGGAATTCAACTTGGTCCATCTTTTCCATCCCTCTCTGCCTCAGATTCTTAGTTTCATATTCTTTCCTAGGCAGCTATGAGGTTTGGCAGATTTCAGTCTATAATTTTCTACAAACTGGCTTCAATTTCTCAGAGATTTTGCATTTTCAGCAACCTCCCAGGTGACATTGATGCTGCGGTCTGAGGACATTTTGAGTAACAAGGTTCCAGTCAGACAGACCCAGCTTTGAATTATTTCCTAGCCAATTGTTAGTTGTATAATATTGGACAAGTTTAAATCATCTCAGAGCTTTAGTTTCTTGTAAAAATAGGCACAATATATCTACCTTATAAAGTTACTGAGAAAATGAAATGATGTCATGTCTCTAGAGCATAAAGCAAGGAACCCAGCTCCTTACTCACAACAGGGCTCACTAATTTAGTCTTCCTCCCACTGTGTCTCAAAAAGGCTGTATATTTATAGCTTGTATCAGAATTTTAAAAAAATCACTGTGAGACCATTGACATTCAGAAAATTAATGTACAGTTTTGACTATTGTTGAGTAACTCCAATGGTCCACATAATGTAGTCATTTGAATTTTGCTGAGGTACACATTTGAGTTCTATACACTGAGGGGAGGCTCATTGGCAGGAGGGTGTCACTTTCCTGGAGCCAAGCATCCAGTGCAAAGCATCCTCATCTCAGCCTGACTTTACAGTTCTGAGCTCATTTTCCTGTCCACACACCTTTTAGCAAGCAAGAAAATCTCTGTATTTTGTGGAAAATGTCCCTGTTAAACAAAGGAACAAAGAGAAAAAAACCAAACAAATCCAACCAACCGGTGAAGAGTGTTGGCATGGAAGTGAAGAGAAAGTTAAGAAATCTAAGAAATAGATGATGCTTATACAGCAAAATAGGAGTTTGGGATAAATTTTGGAGTGGGAATGCCACATTGGCAGTGGCTTAAATCCATGATATGAATGCTTTTACCATTTGCTCCATAAAGAAATAAAGAAAGGCCATTCTCAAACTATTTCAATAAATTTTCCAGACAGAATTCATATTATTTGCTTTATAAGTGAGTCTACTCCTCTATTTATAGAATTATAAAGGTCTTAAGGGTTCAATTAAAAGTTTTTAGTGATACTTGACTGAAATTTATGGGAGAAATTCTATGCTATAATGGTATCTGTGATTTGGTGAATTTGTAAATTGTAAAGTGGACATTGTTAACCATTGGATTGGTAATTGCATTGTAAAGAGAGAATTGGCATCTTTAATTTCCTGATTTACAATAAGGCCATGGCATTTGTCAATAGATATTCAACACCATGTATACAGGCCGCATGCTACAAAGCATAGGGACAAATAAGACATGGGTCCTACCCTCTTTCGAGGAAGGGGAAACACTGGTTCCACGATGCAAATATAATCCTGAAAATTGGGAGAGTAAATTATCTTGGGGAAAGAATATTGGGATCTATGTCTGGCAGATGGTCATAATATTGGTGCATTTAAACAGCTATTAATTCCCCTGGTAATCATCCTGGGAGACAAAAAGCAGATACCATTTATTATGCTACTAAAAGCACAGAACTAGCTCTAAGAAATCTGACATATCCTAGAAGGGATCAACAGATCTCAGCACTTTGGATCTCTGTGAAGTCACTTAACCTTGCCTGGAACTCCCTGTGGTGGCTAGGGCTAACACGCCTAAGGATAGAGATAGATTTCCACAAAAAATAATTTTTACACTCACATCCATAAAAGAACAGCAGTCTCATTTTCACAAGGCTCTGATCAGTCTCAACACTGCCTTCCTTTCATTTGAACTTGTAGTCCTTATTGGAGAGATGATTCCACACTCTATTGTTGTTTGAAGAGTCTTGAGTTGAATTCTGAGGATACATTAGGCTATGTTGCAGAAAGACTGGTATTTCCTGGGGCAGATTAAGGGGAGTGAACCACAAGATTGATTAAAATTCAATTGGACGCTAATTCCTTTGTATTATCTCCTGAAATCCTCACTTAAAATGCAAATAATCCAGGGAGGGTAATACCTTAAAAAGCATTAAGGAGTAAGCTATCAAGAGAGCTGCCAAGGTCTATTTCCCTCCTACTTCTAAAATTTCCACAGAATGTCACTCATTCTCAGAAGTCTTTTCAAGACTTTTTCAAGAATTCACTTGAAAGACTTATGAGAGATTTCCTGATCTCCTGGGTGGAGGTGGGCTATCACCCCAGTTTAGTGAGGAGGGAAATGTAGTGTGGCATACAAGTAGTCTTAGGCGAAAGGGGGAACTAAGCGTTTGTTGAGTGTCTCCCACATCCCCAGCTCTGTCCTGTGAGCTTTGCATAAGCCACCTCATCAAATCCTTTCTCCAATGCCATTATGCTCTTATGACTATCACCGTTTTGCTGATGGGAAACTGAGGCTATGTGAGGTTAAGTCACTGCCAGGAAGAGTTGATAAAAAGCAGATCTTGGAATCAAACTTGACTTACCTCATTACAAAGCTCATTAGCCCCAGAAAAAGACAGGAATCTCACCTAGGAAATTTGGTCCAAGGCATTTTGGTTTTCTCCCTCACCACACAGGTCTACATGATTCTGACTTGTTGTACAGGGGCTCCTCAAGAGAAGAAATGTAGAGGATGAAAGGTTAACATGTTAAGTATTTGAGACCTATTATTGAGCAGGACTGGAGTAGCAACGGAAGAAAGACTATTTCCCATGTCCTATGCTGAAAAAGCGCCTCATTTCTTTATTTTTAGAATGTTTACAAAATTATTCTGTAACAGAGATAAATACAATCCTACCACATGATCCAGCAATCATGCTCCCAAATGAGCTGAAAACTTATGTCCACATAAAAAATTACACACACATTTTTATAGCCACTTTATTCATAATTGTCAAAATTGGAAGCAACCAAGATGTAATTCAATAGTTGAATGGATAAACAAAGTGTGGTACATTCAGACAATGGAAAGTTTTCAGTGATAAAAAGAAATGAGCTACCAAGCCATGAAAAGACATGGAGAAAACACACTGCAAGTGAAAGAAGCCAATCTGAAAGGCTATATACTATATGATTCTAACTTTATGACATTCTGGAAAACAGAAATATGGAGAAAGTAAAAATATCAGAGGTTGCCAGAGGTTCAGTGGGGTTGGGGGGGATAGGGGAAGGAGATGAACAGCTGGCACACAGGCATTTTTAGGGCAGGAAAACTATTCTTCATGATACTGTAATGGTGGATACATGACTATGTATTTGTCAGAATCACAGAATCATACAACATAGACTGAAACTTGATGTAAACTATGGGGGGCTTTAATTAATAATAATGTATCGATATTTTTTCATCAATTGTACCACACCAATGCAACATGTTAATAATAGGGAAACTGAGCAGAAGTTGTGTGTCTTGGAAAGAGAGTAAATGGGAACTCTGTATTTTCTGTTCACTTTTTCTTTAAACCTTAAACTGCTCTAAAAAGTATGTTAATTTAAAAATCGTTCTAAATATAGACAATAATATTGTACTATAATTATGTAAGGCAATGGATATCACTACAGTGGAATCATATTACAATATAAAAATGTATCAAAGAACACACTGTACACCTTAAGTTTATACAATGTTATGTGTCAAGTATATTTATTAAAAAATTATTTTAGAACTATTTCATTCTTCATATGCCTTATTACAGTGTAATAGATATAGGTAGAGAGAAAAGAAAGAAAAAGAATAGTGTAAAGGAAAGGGAGAGGCTGAAAAATATGAGAATTATAATAAACTAAAATAAAATTTGTGCCACCAGGAAAGAAAAAAGGATTAGACATTTTCAGAGCTATCTTTTCTTAATCTCTTTTTTTTTCTTTTCTTCCTTTGTTCTATTTTTGGGGCATGAGGTGGGGAGAAGAATTTCAGCAAGCTCAGAATGTGGAATAAGATGACAGCATGGAATCTTAAAAATAGTCTATGCACTTTCCCCAAGCGCAGGCATTTTACTTAGGGAGGACGGAAGACCAGGTTGTCTGGAACAGTATATATTTATGAGATGATTAAGCCTGAGATGGTTAAACTCTAACTTCTAGGTGGCTGAGGGAAGACAGTGCATAATGTGCTGACACCAAAAGAATCACGGGGCTGAACATTTAGGAACCTGCTTTCAGCTTGGTCTCCAAGTGTAAGTAGGGCACGCTGGGGTTACTCAGAATCAGAGGTGGTGCTGATATGCAGACCCAGAGTGAGGTGAAGGAGCTTAGGGATGTGAGAGCATATCTTCCCAACAGACTTTCATTTCTATTGAGGCATAATATTGCTACAATGGCATTTTATATGTATAGTTACTACTATTACAGGTAGTACATATATATTAAAGTCCATGAATCTTAGGTACATAGTTTGTTGAATTTGTTATCTATGAATATACCCATGACTCACAACCTGTATCAAGATACAGAATATTTCCAGTATATCAAAAAGCTTCTTTGTTCTCCTTTCCAGTCAGTACCTCTGTGTTCAGAGGTACTCATTCTGATTTTTGAAAATTAGTTTTGCCTATAAACCTCATATAAATGGAATCATACTGTATGCACTCATTTGTCTAGCTCCTTTCATCCAGCACCATGTCTGTGAGACTCACCCACATCGTTGCATGTAACAGTGGTTTGTTCTTTTTTATTGCTACTCAGTATCCCATTGTATGAAAATGCCATAGTTTACTTATCCATTCTATCATGGATGAAGATTTGGATTGTCTTCAGAGTTTTTACTTTAATGAATGCGTCTGCTATGAAGATTCTTGCATCTGTCTTTTGGTGGATACATGTGTCCATTTCTCTCATGTGTACACCTAGGAGTGGAATTGCTGGGTCAAAGGACAGGCACAAAGATACTGTCAATCAATTTTCCAAAATGGTTATACAATTTCAGTTTCTGCTAGCAACATATGAAGGATTCCAGTTGCCCCACATCTTCATCAACTTGTGTTATTACCTGTCTTTAAAATTTTAGCGGTTCTGATGAGTGTGGTAGGGTATCCATTCTGGTTTTAATTTATATTTGCCTAATAAGTAATGGTATTGAGAATTTTTTCCCAAATATTATTGATCATTTGGATATCCACTTTTGAAAGCTCTTACTCAAGTCTTTTGTCCCTTATTTAAATTGGATTGTCTATCTGTTGATTATTGATTTGTATGACGTATTCTAAATGCAAGCCTTCTGTCAGGTGTATGTAGTGCAAACACCTTCTGTCAGTCTGTGATTTGCCTTTTAACTCTCTTAATGGTATCTTTTGGTTAATAAAAGTTACTAATTTTGATGAAATTTAAGTTACTAATCTTTTGTTTTATAATTAGTAGTTTTCTTATACTATTTAAAACTTATCCCAGGTCATAAATACATTAGTCTGTTCTCTTCTAGAAGCTTTATTTTTCACTTTTAGATCTATAATCCATGTTTAATTAACTTTTGTAAAAAAATAGACACTTAAGAATAGCTAGGATATTACTAAAAAGAAAGAGCTACTGAAGAGGGGGTTGGGTAAGCACTATAAGATACAATTAAAATAGTGCAGCACTGGTACATGAATAGACAGAAAGACCAACAAAAACAGAAAACCCAGAAAAACATTAACTTTTGTATATGGTGTGAGGTAAAGGTCACACACACAAAAATGTTCCATTAAAAGGATGTTGGATCTCCAGGTTGATTCTCTAATTTTATCTTTCTTCCTATTTTCTATCTTTTGAGCACATATGTCATACTTTGTACTTAGGAAACTTTATCTTCCATCCCTTTTATTAAAATGTTCACTTTGAAGGTTTTATCCTAATTCCCAAGAATTTTTGTTCAATAAATGTTGCTTCCTATTATTTTATTTTTATAAGGATTGGGTTTTTTTGGCTTGTTTGAAGTATTCTGTTTCATTCAATGCCTCTCTTTTCTCTGAGTCTTTTTTTTTTTCCCTGTTGGTTTTTTGTTTGTTTTGGTCTGTGTCTTTCTCTGATTTAATACTATTATTGGTTGTATGCTTATACTTAAGGTACTAAAAAAGGTTGCTTATAAGTTCTGATTGAGTAGAAGGGCCTTGCTGAGTAATGGGCTTCACTCTAAGATAATCTGGCTGAGTGTTTGCTTAGAGGAACCCCAATGATCAAGATCTAAAGGTTTTTTTTGCTGGGTCGGTTTCCCTAGAGAGGAATCTTGCAACTTCACACCTGAAGGTTGTCAGTTCTTGCAGCATTTTGGGACTGAGTGGGAGAAGGGGCTGAGGCGGGGGTGAGGAGGGTTTACACTTCAGGCGCCCCACATTTGGTCTGTTTTCTGTGTATTGAGTACAGTTCTTCAGTGAGGTGAAGCCAGTGAGCAAGACTTTTGTTTCCTCTTATGATAAGGGAAGAGGTGGTCATTTAGCTGAGCAGGCTTAGGAGGAAGATTTATGAGGTTAATTGTTTCTTACATGGATTTTCAACTGAGCTTCTGGCTTTCAGCCTCACCTGAACACCCCACTTTTGGAGGTAATTGGCATCCCAACTCCTGAGACTTTTTGCGTTTTGTCACATGCATCTGCTTATTTCTGGAGTTAGCTTGAGGCTTCCCCACCTCTAACCACTTCCAGGCTTTTTCTAGTTTCCTATGTTAGTAACCACTCATCCATTGGACTTTCAGCTTCCAAGTTTTTATTGTCATTTCTTTTCTTATTCTCTCTTTTTTTCAAATTGAAGTATAGTCAGTTTACAATTGTGCTGTGTAGTTTCTGGTGTACAGCACAGTGATTCAGTTATACATATGTATATTCCTTTCCATATTCTTTTTTCATTATAGGCTATTACAAGATATTGAATATAGTTCCCTGTGCTATACAGTAGGACCTTGCTGTTCATCTATCTTATAGATAGTAGTTAGTATCTGCAAATCCCAAACTCCCAATTTATCCCTCCTCCCCCTCTTCCTGTTCTCTGTATACTTGTGGATTTATATGTTTTAATGCCTTTACTGACTTCCTAGTGACGTTTCTGGGGGGAAAATAGTAAACATTTGTGTTCAGTCTACATTTTAACTGAAAGCTAGTTAGTCAATATTCAAGAACTTAAAGTCAGCTCCAGATGTCTCTGAAACTTTATTCACTGTTGTCCTAGAAGCAGACTGATAAATGAAAGTGCCCATATTCAGTATGTCCTTTGGGGAATGTTAAAGAATGAAATGGGAACCAAGAAATGGATCATTGCCAAGGGGACATTTTGGGACTCACTTTTCTGACCATATTTAGGGTCAAATCCCCACAAAAATGTGGCAACTTTATAATATAAAACTGCTGTTCTGGGTTTGTTGGCCTGATTATTACAGGAAAATTACAACAGAAAAATGAATATAATCATTACTGAACACATGCTATTTGTTTAGGAATGATTATTTTCCTCACTGATGCAAAGGCTTAGAAACCTAATCTAAGTTTTCAATGGACCATTCAGATTTTGCTCACCAGAAATCCTTCAAGTATGTGAGCATATTTTAAATATGCTCTACTTATGCTTCTTTGTCTTCCTGGAATTGTTTCCATATTTTACAGATAAGTGTCACTTGTATTACAATCAGTCATAGGTAGTGATTCTGGATTTTAAAAAATACACATTTATTAAGAAACCTGACATCAATGTGTGATAGTGTTTTCTTTTTCCATTTTGCTTTGTGCAGCTGGAAAATCAGGCTACATCGTTTTTTTAAAGAATGAATTACATCCTGGCAATTGAGGGAGTTTAGTGACATGTTCCTCACATTGGTGACTTCCAGAACCTGACCTTAGATAATTGCTCTATTAGCCTCCATCATTATAAGTGAAGATTTCTTTAGCATCAACAGTTGATAGCCTGCTGCTACCAGATTTGGATGATCAATATTACAGAGCCAGAGAAAGTATGAGATAGGAAGAAAATATGAGAAAGTATGTTTGTATCTAACAAAATCATAGGCGTAGATATCAAATTCCTCTAAGAAGACTTCAGAAATTTTTGGATTTTTCAGACCATCCAAGTACAAGGAGTGTTTAAAGGTGAGGAGTGTGGAGAGTAGCTGAATGGAAATTATTTCAGACATGTGAGGCTGTATGCAGAAGTGAGTGAGAAAGGAGAAGGAAGGGACTATGGTTAGGTAAAGGAAGAAGACACAAGAAGTGTGTTGAGTTGGGTGGGGAAGAGCCTAGTCACCAAGAGCATCTTGAGTCTTGTGTATGTACAGTGAGCTTTTTAGTGAATGGCAGCTGTAGTAGCAGAAAAACTAACAAAGTTCTGGAGAATTTAGAGTTTGGAGCTGTGGTGCATGGAATCCAATCCCTAAGCAATGTCACTGTACAAAAGCACAGTAGAAATAGGCAATCCAAGTTGTAATATGGTTCTCAAAAATATTCAGGGGAGTCCAAGTAAGGCACACAAAACATATTTTACTGAAGTCTTTTCTAACCTACAGCACCCAATTCCCAGATGGTTCTGTGTGCAGGGCTATAGACTCACCTGTCTTTATTGAGCAAATTACCTAATAAATGAGAAAAGAACCTGGTTTTGGATATTATTAGGAGGTTCTTGAGAAAGGCACTGGTATAAATATTGTTCAGCTTCTAGATTATAGAAGGCTTTCTGCTAGACATCCTTTTCTTTGCATCTAACCAAGTTTAAGGGAAAACTGAGCCACCTATGTTTCTTGGCCTTCACACAAATAGTCAGAATTCCACTGGTTGCCGCAGATACCCTGTATCTTTGTGACAGAAGCCTTACTGGAGTGACGACAGTTGTTACTGAGAGAGATCTGATGCCCCAAGCCCTTCTCCTTGAGTTATTATCTGCCCAGGAAAGACACTGGATGGAGGGCTTAAAGAAGAAAAATGCTTTTTTTGAAGGAGCCAAAAATCCCTGTTGTGTATGCCCATGTGAACACCAATCCAATGGGAAAAAAATTACCATGCTGCAATTGTTAGCAATACGGTGCCTATTAGTGTTAATTGAATGATCAAAGTCTACACTAAAAGCATATGATTAGAAAAATTCCTGTAAAAATCGGTACGTCTGAAACAAACCAATTGATTTAATAATTCAGCCTCAGGCAATTGTATCCTTGATAGCTTATAATTGTGAGAAAAGTTTGAATTTGTTTATCACAATAAAGGACAGATCCATTTCATTTTTATATGAAAGAATATTTTTGCAAACCCAACCCCATAAAGTCATATATGATTTAAACATAAAATATGACTGAAAAGTCTACATCAAAAATTATCCTCTGTTTTAATTTTTTACCCTTAAGAAATCTTAGAGTAGATTTATAACTCTTTATAAAATCAAATCAGGAGAATAAACATTCAGTAAGCACATATGATGGGCCAGACTTTGCCTTAAGTCCTATGGGAGGAACAAAGAAAGTTTTTGTCTTCTTAAAATCTAGTAGAGGAAAATTGTTAAGAACTGAAAGTTCAAATAACATCATAAGATATAAGTAATACTTTAAGACAACAATGGAAAAGCACATACAAGACCAATTGTGAATACAAGTCAGACATTAGAATTCCTTTGTGAAATAGTAATTCAGCTATTTGGCTAAAGAATGGAGTTTCTGAAAATGGTAGAGGAGACAGGCCTAGAAAAAGAAATTGTATTAAAATTATGGCTCTTAGATGCCAGGGTAAGATTTTAGAACTTGATTTTGTAGGGAAACCATTAAAAAATCTTAATTCTAACCTTAAGTGGAGAAGTGACAAAAACCAGAGCCGCATGTTGGAGAGGTGAATCTTTCAGCTATGTGCAGACTGGACAGAGAAACTTCAGACACTGAGATGGTTTAAAGGGTACTGCCATCTTCCAGACTGTGTAAGTACTTCCAGGGAAATGGGATGGACCTGCCACCACCTAAATTTAGTTCAGGTGTCTAGACTGATGCCACACACACAAACACACGCTAAGAGAGCCTGAGAAGGTTTATTACTCACAGAATGAGGATGCTAAGGTAGAGCAGGGCAAACTTCCAAGCAGATCCAAAGGCTTGAGAGCACAGGAAGGGGTGACTGGCTTGGCTTTTCATGATGGTTAGTGTAGGGATGGAGTGAGTGTCCCCTTATCTATGCTGAAGCTTTCACGATTTGAATTTCCTGCTGGTACCAAAGGAGGGAGCCCTCAGGCTTCTTATCAGCTGGTCTGGATGTGGGGCAGAGAAGAAGGGAAATGATGTGGTTGGAAAGTTGTCAGCAGACATCAAAAATGGACTCCGATTCTTTATAACATACATACAGGGTGGTAAGAGTGATAAAGTGCCAATACTGCACATGAGCTATAAGCCTGCACCTGATGGAACCTGCACTGTGGAAAGCAGGTCTCTGGAAGAAAGGATTTCTATGAGAGTGTGGTTATGTAACAGTCAGTTTACGGGCCTATTGAGGGCCTTTGGAATGTCAAAGAGGAGGTCTCTAGGGCTTTGAAGCAAATATCCCACGAACTCTTGACCTTTTGTTCACTGCATTTCTTTTTTTAAAAAATTCTAATATATTGCTTATGTTTTGGAGAAAGATTTTTTTGAAAGATGCAAAGCTAGAGGAGATTGTCTGCCTCTGGGATAAGAGTTGTAGATTCTATTGCTTAATAAGTAAGTCAGTTTTGATTTGAGTACCAGTTACACACTGTGAACATTTGTGTACAGTAACAATTATCTAGGAAACTTCTTTAAAATGTCCATTTCTGCCTGCAACCCCAGGGATTCTGGATGAGAGGATTTGGGCTGATCTCAGGAACGTGTCTCATGACAAGTGTCCCTGATACAGGGGTTTCCGGGCCTCACTTGAGAAACATCACCCGATGGTATAGCCAGCACTACACTAGGTATTACAAGGCTTCAGGCAAAGTCTAACACAATCACAATCAACAAGGTGACTGCTTTGCTGGCTCTTTCCCTGCTTAATCAGTCTGCACCTATGAAGTCTGTAAAAGCAAAAATTAAAGCCAGGACTACGATTCTGTTTGGTCACTGTTAGCAGAGCTTGACTGCTTTACTCTGACATGGGCTCTATATGCTTTTTCTAATTTAACCTTCATGAAGTCGAATAAGTATCACAACATAGTGTAGAAAATTGAGGCTCAGTAAGACTGACTTACTAAGTCCTGCAGTCACTAAATGGTAAAGCCAGTTTTCAAACCTAGTGTTGTCTAAATCAGACTTGGGTTATTAACCATGACACTCCATATACCGTCAGGAGCTCAGTTCTAGCTTTGTAGTCTCGCTTGAGTAATAATGGGGGAGAGGGTAGGGGGGTGGTCCAATGGCACTCAGAGCAGGGGAAAATGAAGCAGTTGCCTGCTTAGGTTTCTCATATATTGACAGTAGAATAACAGATGTTGGTTTGATACCATGAGGGTCTCTGTCTCCCAGGGTAGAAACTTCATCGACTAGCACTTCAGCCCTTCCGTGAGATTCTTGAAGACTTGAATTCTGTAGGTTACTTCCCTGTAAGCACAGTTTATCTGGTTTAGGATAGCACTTTTTGGACCAGTCACCTTCAAGAGGCTGAGAGGCATTAAGGTGGATGGAAGAGAGTGAGGGAAGGAAATGGAGGTGGGACATGCGGCTAGGAAGGTACACGGGGCACAGGTCATACAGGGCTTGGAGGTCATGGTCAGAAATTTGGTTTTTAGTCTAAGTATGGTGAGAAATAAATGGAATGTTTTAGATGGGAGAGTTAGTGCTCTGATTTAATGTGGTAAAAATAGCCTTTTGGTTTCCATGTGAAGAATGGATGAGAAGGAGCAAGAGCTGAAGTGGGAAGATGGGTAAGGAGGTTATTTTACCCTCTGAATATTTTAGGTGTATAAAAGTTCTTCATGAAGGAAAAGCCAACAAAGAAAGAAAACCAACAGTTTTAGACTTGATGGGGCAGGAGAGTAGAGCTCAGAAAAAAATTCTAGAGGCTCCCCCACTTCCTCCTCAAAGCGATTTTGGAGTGAAGTTAAGAAGAAGAGGGAGAGGGAATCGGAACTTAAGCATTTCAGATTTCATGTTTTGTTCTTTTTAGTCCTTCTAAAATCTACCCTCGCCCAATATTTTTCTCCTCAACCTTAGCAGAGATGAACTGAAAGCCAATGCAACAGGTAGGTGTCTAAGATGACAGTAATCTCTGTAGGGAATTATGTATGTAAATGCGTTTTCCTAGGAAAGTTGAATAAAAGTCTGCTTCTTGATGATGGATGAGAACCCAGCTCTGGAGTCCTGACATTTTAAATTCTGTATCTCTGTTTATTTCTGTATTCATTCATTCATTCATTCATATTCTTCAGCCTGAGTCTGTTCAATGATTCCTCCTGCTCAAACAAGAATGCCCATGCATTCTTGATAGAAATACCCCCATATGTGTGCTATCTACATTCTTCTCAGGACACCACACAGGAGACAATATGATGTAGACCCATCCCACCATGGTGATGTAAACTTTGATTGCCCTGTTTGGAGAGAAACTACTGGCCTCCAAAGACATCCTAGCCTTAACCCTAGGAATCTGTGATATGTTACCTTAAATGACAGAAAAAGACTATGCTGATGTGTTTAAGGTTAGAGACTTGGAGATGCTAACATTATCCTGGATTTTCCAGGTGGGTCCAATCTAGTCACATGAATCCTTTATTAAGAGAGGACAGAGGTTTTATTAAGACTTTGGAGAACCAGAGAGATGGTAGTATGGAAAGCCTCAATCCACCATTGCTGGCTTTGGAAATGGAGGTAAAAGGCCATGAACTGAGGAATGCAGATGGCCTTAAAATGATGGAAAAGGCAAAGAAATGGATTCCCCAGGAAGCCTCCAGATAGCAACAGAGCCCAGCCAACACCTTAATTTTATCCCAATGAGACCCATGCCGAACTTCTCACCTACAGAACTGTAAAGACAATAAATTAATATTCTTTAAGTCCCTAAGTTTGTGGTAATTTGTTACAGCAGCAGTTGAAAATGGATATACTTGGTCAAAACAGTATTTTTGGTTAAAAGCTGTTGACTGGCCTTATCTGGGCATAAGAGGATATTGAAAGAACATCATGGTTCTCACAGATCTGATGATAAGCTTGAGAACAAGGGTGTGGCAACGGTCAGAAACCAAGGGAGCTCTGAAATACCAAGAGATAGGAAACAACCTATATAGTAACAGTTTCATTCGTAGGCTTTACTCCACCAAGCTGGTACACAATGGGGAACAATAATTTTCCAACGAATTAGGAAGGGAGATAAGATGCTAGACTGTCAAAAAAAGAGCTGATATGCATTTCACCGAAGGAGTTTAGATTTTATCCTGAAGAGCTTAGAGAGGTTCTGGAAGACCCTAAGCATTTTGTAACTTCTCTCTGTAAAGATGAGGTTTTCTACTCAGCTTCTTTCAAAATCTGTCCATTACGGTTTCCCATCTTTTTAACGTAGCTTCTGGTTTTCTCTTGGGCTCCAAGTCCACACTTAAACTCCAGATCAGTAGCAATGTTGTTTCTTTTTCAGTCCTTGCTCCTTACCTCCCTCCTTCCTTCCCATTCTCGCTCTTTCTTTCTCACTTTCTCTTCCCAATTTGCTTTTTTTTTTCTTTGTCTCTTCTCAGTCTTTATGGAAAACAATGCATGTTCTTGGGAAGTTCCCCAATCTCATTTTTCTGCTACATCTTTGCACTTACTACTCACTTTGCCCAAGTTGTCCCCTCCCCCTCTCTACCTGGCAAACTACCACTTATCTTTCACCACCAAGGTGAATTCTCTGACCTTTCTCCAAGTTCCCCCAGATAGAGCACTATCTTCTTTGAGGCATCACTCTACCTTCTCTGTTCCTCAACTATAGGACCATGTTGACATCTGTTTTCCCTATTCCTCTCCTTTTTCTTCTATCAGACCCTAAACTCTTTTTCAGAAGTTATCTTCAGTGGCTTAGCATGGTGCCAGGTCCATGAATGAGAGAATGATACTGCCCAGGACCCTTTCTGAAATTTGCTGAGGTTGGTATATCTTCATGTCAATCTCCACATTTGGTTGATCATATGAAATGTAAAGTGTGTTTCATAAAAAAGGAGAATATTTTCATTTTTTTATACCCTGCCTCAAATAAAGATTCACAGGAAAGTTTTAGAGGAAGCAAATAATTCTGAAGTTGATTACATTTTCAATATAATCCTATATTTAGGATTCTCAAAAGAGCAGATACGTTTAATGTCCCCCTCCCCTCCCACTCACTTTAAGAATCACTTCTATAGGGGCTAGGGTGGCTGATCCAGGAGTGCTGCTAACCTCATTTTTGTTGTGCTGTGGAGACGTGGGAACAGGGGCAGGGAGTCTTCATTCAGATTTTAATGTTGGACAAAACCTTCTGGAAGAATCTGAGCAGCAGGAACTCCTACAGATAAGGGCTTCAAGAAACACCGAGAATGGTCGCAAGACTAACAAAACTAGAATTAACCTGTAAGTTTAATGACTGCTCATAGAATTATAGAATTAAATAAAATTTACGAGCTGGGAAAGACTGTCACAAAACAGATCTCTAACCCATCAATTGCTATGAATTACTGATTGACCTTGTTGATGGGCTCCTTCAATGTTCCTCTCACCTCATTTTCTTTGCACAGCTAGCGTGGAAACTCCCAGCGAATCACTGCTTCGGAGGCTGGGGCGGTAGAGAGATGCAGCTGTCTGCTTTGCCCATGCCTGGAGGGTTGATCCAAAAGATAAAAAAAACATTGGAGAAGCAAGGACAGCCCATCCCCACTCTTAAGGTCATTTATTCATGTTACTTATCCTTTGTTTCATTTCAGAAATTATTTGAAGTTGTATCTAAAAACACATATACAATGCTACAGAATAACTGAAGGAACATAAAATAAAACCAGGGACAAGCTTAACACAAAAAATATTTGCAATACAGCACCTGAAGAGGGTTCCAGAGTTGGCTCTGAGCTTCCTAGCTGCCAAACAAAATGAAACATAATTGATAACAATGTTTAGAGTGCCAATAAATGAAAACAACCCCCTTTATTTTCAGAGATGCACAATTCTTTCTGATACAGAGAACTGAGAGGAACATCTCCTGTGATTTCCCATGGAGATCAACATCCTCAACAATAATTTCTGTGATAAATAAAAAGTGTAGAATGACTTCGTCTTCTTAGATCCCTGTCTGCAAGTTAGAGAGGCACAATGCAAAGCATAGCTGGTATACAAGACACCAAAGCTATTACATCTAAAGCTTTGATTTTCTTCCTTAACTCTTTTAGATTCAAGAGGAAGGAGTGGACTCTAACAGATTTATGGTAATCTTC